CAGATGGTTTGCCTGAGCCGCTGGGAGTCACAGCCAGGCGCCTCCGTTCAGCCCCAGCCCTCACCGTGGGTGTTAGATTGGTCTTTGGTGCTCACTCACATGAAACTGCTGAACTCTTGCCCAGCAGGTGTGATGTTAGCTTTCCCCTTTGATAGACTTCCGCCTTCTGCAACTTAAAACTTGAGTAGTATCTTTGCAGGAGAAAGCCTCTGGATACTGGTCACAGGTTGGACGTTAGAAGCCTTTCGATATATGGAATTTAGTAGAAATTGCGTTCGGGCTAAAGATTCATTTAATTTTTTAAATATGACTTGACCCAGAGTTCAGCACGTGTGTGAAAAGCACAGATTTGTTTTCCGGGGCATGATTTATTGATAAACATTGATTTATCTTTGATCTACCACCAACCACCCTCGTCCCTGTCCCCAAGCCCTCCCTGGCCACACAGGGGGTGGCGGGGGCTGGAAAAGCCTCCGGGCTCCCCCGCAGCGCACGTGGGCCGAGGACCTCCAGGGCCCCGGGGTTGGCGTCGGCCTCTTTGTTGGGGCTGCCCGCGCGGAGAGGCACTCTCGGGCCTGCGGAGCGCGCGGGGCCCACTCCTGACCTCTTAGTCGCAGCCCCTAAGGACTTGTAAGCATATAGGCTCCAGTCGAGAGGTTAAAGTAGGCCCCAGGGGACTTTTTAACTAAAATCCTAAATTTCATTTAGGCGGCTCGTGGGCCAAGCGATCGCAGAGACTAGGAGCCGAGGCTCGCTCCTCCCCGGCCCCTCCCCGCGCCGGCTTTGTGCAGCCCGGGGTTCGAGGAACCGGGTTCCTCTCGGACTGTCAGCCCCCGGGGCTGGCTCCCGCCGCCCTCCCGCCCCTCTGCGGTCGCCACGGCCCCCCACCACCGCCTCCCGCTCCCAGCCCTTCCGCTTCCTCCCACGTCCTCTTCCCGCGCCCTCCCTCGGGCTGGGAGAAAAGTCGGTAATAAGACACCAGTTCGGTGTCAGTCGGAGAGAGGGGGGCGATAACCCCAGAGATACACGGCAGTGGAGAGAGAACTCATTTTGTGTAAAGAGGGCCTCGAGTCACCAGGGAATTCCTGGATTGTCTCAGGCTGTCGTGTGTGATGTCCATCACGCCGTGCGAACACCATCTGCTCGGTATTATGCTCTCAGTTGCCAGGCTACCTGCTGTACGCGGTAACACTTGACTGCCTGGCTCCACGTTCGCGGCGCTGGCCCAGACGCGCGGGGCGGGGGACGCGCCGGGGGAGGGACGCGAGTCCTGATTAAGCCATCTGCAAGGGGAGGGCGCGGCGGCGCGGGCGGGCTGCCTGCGCGAGCACCGGGCTGACACCACCATCTGCTGGGGCAGCGCGAGAACAGCAGCTGCTCCTTGTTCCCCCCACGAGGAACGCCTGAAAAAGGCTGAAGCCCTGGGCATCCTCGAGCCAGTCGTCTACAAAGTCCCCATCACCCCAGTGTCCTCGCCCTCGGCAGCCTTTTGTGATCCCTCCGGCCCCCAAGAAGCCTGCAGTCTTTGGTTCGCCGCCAGCAACCCCAGCCCCTCTCACCCAAACACTAGACACGTTTTTGAAAACACTTCAGAGAAATAAAGCTTCCCTACTCGCAGATTTATAAATAAACAGCTGGCTGTTCTTGGGAGATATTTTTATCACAGCTGTTTTTCGAAGTCGAAAACTGCCTCTTTGGGCGAGGTAAGGGTGTTTTTTACACCTCCCACCTCACTCTAGCCTTTAGAAAATTGCCGAAATCTTTTCCCTGAAGGGGAAGATATGTAAAATAGGTTCCTGCGTTTTGATTTCTTTTTCCTCCCTTTATTTTACTGAAGAGTGAGGGTTTGGAGAGTAATGAAGATCTATGAAGCCAATAGGATTTTTGAGGGGAAGAGACTGTGTTAAGATTCTCGGTAGAAAGCAAGGGAGGTCGTTGGGAAGGGAGTGGAGTGGAGAACAAACCAGTAATTAAAACTAAAAATACTGCATCATTTGGCTCCAAGGCATTACATTTCGCATGACGAAAGCTCAGCCTGGTTTTCTCTAATTGCACAACGCAGTGTGTGTCCTTCTTAGAAACAAGAGTGGTGGCTTGAAATCCTGAAATTTGACAGACTATTTCTCATTAAGCTCTCAGACTGGAGGTTAAAAGAAGCCTTGTAATATGAAGCAGTGGCCTCAACCAGCTGAATTTGTAAGGCAGGTTACTTGGTTACCCCTGGGGCTGGGCTGTCTCTCACCCACTGTTCCATGCAGCAGCCTTGTTGGAAAGTACTAAAGATGGAAAGGGAATCATTTGGGGAAATATATAATCCTGGGAAGTAATAGCCTGACTGTCCCTTTGGGAAGGTTTTTTTCACACTGTGCTTTTGAAGTATTTCTTTTTGTCCCAGGAAGACAGGGGCAAAAAGTGATTTGATGTATCATCAGTCATTACCCCATTTGCCTCTCCCTTTCTTGCCCTGGTGGAGAGAAGGCTTGGAAAGCAACACTTCACTCCTTACACTTCGGGACACACTCCCCAGCTATGCGGGGCTGGTCACACAGGACAAGAATATCTCAAAAGACACAAAGATAAACAGGGCCAGCCCAGACCAGTCCTCTCAGAAAATCAAGCTGAAGAACACTTCATCTTCCCTTGGGTCCCATTTTCTTTCCAACTCTCTTCCTCCTTATCAAAACTGGAAAGTATCAGATAGACTGAGATACACAGGAAAAAACTGTCTATCTGTATTTTTGCTGATAGGCTATTTATATTTCAGTGTGAATTCGTTTGTTAAAGCGTTAAATCAATCGGCCATTTGTCTCTAAAGGTGGCAAGAAACAGCTTTATCCCTATTGGAAGGAAGGGCTTGGAAAACAGGTAGCAAGTATTTGGGGGAAAAGGGAAGACCCTGAAATATCTAGACCCTTGCAGGGGTTAGTCATAAAGTAAACTTTTTGGTAGCATAAAGGTTCCTGGCATTTTTAAGCTCTTTTTATTAACATCAAAAATATTTCAGGTGGAGTGTGGTGGTTCACACCTGTACTCTTAGCACTTTGGGAGGCTAAGATGGGAGGCCTGCTTGAGGCCAGGAGTTTGAGGCTGCAGTGAGCTATGATCATGCCCACTGCCCTCCAGCCTGGGCAACAAGTGATACCCTGCCTCAAAAAAAAAAAAAATTCATAGCTTTCTACCTAATTGTCCATTTACAGAGAAAATACAAAAACAAAAACTTTTATTAACTTGGACTACAGCACTCACATATAAAAAATAGAACACAGTACATTTCTGAGAGACACGCTATATATTTGGTCTACAGGCAATTCTCAGGTGCACACTTGGCACCATGAACCCACGGTCTGGGAAAGGCCTGAGCTAGTGGAAGGAATTCTCAATTTAGAATCAAAATGAGTGTTCTCATCCTGTGGGTTATGGGTCTTCCATTTACTAGCTGTATGACCTGGGCTACTGCACTAACTAACAGCACTTCTTTAGCTCTTTTTGTTTCTGGGGTGAAAGGAGTAGTGTTTTGTTTGGGGGTTTTTGTTGGTTTGTTTGTTTTACTTGTTTTGTTTTGTTTGGGTGGATGGAGGGAGGGAAGAAGAGCAACTGAAGATGCAGTTCGGGTAACTCCTAGGAGCATGAGTGGCTCAACACCAGACGACAGAGGGCAGGGAGGGTCCTAGCCCAGGCTGTGGGGAATCAAACCCAGGACTGTCTCTCTAGGAGAAACAGAGAGAAACTTCAACTATATGCTTTGAGAGGAAACTGCCAGCATGTTTGACAGTGTCTATATTGAAAAGGTAGCAAAGCAAAAGAGAAGATAAATATTAAAATCCAGTTTGTATAAAAAAAAAAGTTTAAGTAATTATAGAGTTATTCACATTCAGTTCTTATTTAGGTTTCTTAATAGTGACTCACAAAATGACTTTGTGTGTCCTTATATGTGTGCCCATTTAATTGATGTCAAATTCTCTCTGTTCAGATTAATTGCTTAAAATGTTAGCGAGTTAGAAGGAATACTTCTGCAGAATGTTCAGACTATACTTGCCACTGCCAGGTGCATTTGATAGAAAGAATAGGAACGGAGGCGTCTAGAAACTGAATCTTATGGTCACACACCTACTCTTCCCATCAGCCTTTTTTTCCCTAATAGTCTACACTGTCTGGCTCTGAGCACAGACTTTCCCTCTGAGCACATTCTCAACAAGTTACTTGGGCTGTGTGGGATTAAGTCTTTGCCACTTTACCTCCTATTCCCTGAGGAGCAGTCCTTAAAAATTGCCATCATTTGACTGACTGACACATAATTATGGGATAGAGGGACCCAATCCAAACCCCCACATATAAATTGTCCCAGACATATGAGACTCAATTCTATTTTTAAAAATGTTGGGAGATGACCTAGCATCGGTCAGTGTAAAACATCCCCAATGCTTACCATCAACAGCTCTGACCATTAGGATTTTTGAAAACACATAGAGTTCTCAAATGTTGTAATTAATTGAATTCCATCACATGTCAGATCCATTGATTAATAAATTCCAGCAGTCTTCTGTAAACATCTCTCTTACTTGCTAAGAAGACATCTGTTTTGGCCAAGTAGACTAAGGAATAAGGATTAACATGTACGGTCAGGATGTCTCTCGAATTCCAGACTTAAGGTGAGCTCAGCCTGAGGGCTTTTTCCCTTTCCTTGGAGGAACACAGATGCTGGTTGACAACCCAGTCCACATCCATCCATTCGCCAGTCCCATCCAAAACAAACTGGACTTGGCCTCAGATTTCCCAGAGCCACGCTGTCTTACTGTCCTCTTATTGCCTCTCCAATTCTACTCAGGTTTACAGCCAGGTTTGAGGCTGTTTCTGTGGAAATGTGACATGTGCCACTCAGAACCCCTTGGGTGCACAAGCTGGGACCTCTGCCCCATTCCCCCTCTGCAGGGGCTTCCCTTTAAATGGCAATGGGTCTCCATGGGGAATCACTACATGGCTCTCTCTTCTTGTCCTCCCAGGAGCAGCACCCGGTCGGGCTTCCCCGGACCACAGGTCCCATGCAGTCCTCTGTGCCGCCAGGTTCCGGTGGCATGGTCTCTGGAGCCAGTCCCTCAGGCCCGGGATTCCTGGGCAGCCAGCCCCAGGCCGCCATCATGAAACAGATGCTCATGGATCAGCGGGCCCAGTTGATGGAGCAGCAGAAGCAACAGTTCCTGCGGGAGCAAAGGCAGCAACAGCAGCAGCAGCAGCAGATTCTGGCCGAGCAGGTAACACGCCCCTTGGCGCGATTCACTCCTTCAGCCAGCATTTATTGAGCACCTTCTGTCTGGGTGGGAGTCGTGGTTCACGTCCTCCATCAAGATGCTCACAGTCTAGCATTTCCCAGGATCACAAAAGAACCTGCAGAATTTAGATCTTTCCATTCATTAGGCTTTTTCCTGTAATGAATTAGTTTGTTCTTAAAAGACAGGCTTCAGCTATCAATTTGAAGGCTCATTTGCCAGAGACATTTCTTTGATGCAAGCCCGACTCCTTTTCTTCTGATTTCTGGTGCAGGGGTCTGTGTAATCAGCACACGGGGGCGGGGGGGCTGTCTCACATTCTTCATAAGCCCTAATATTTCTAGTAGGAAGCAAAAAAGACAATTCAGAGAACTTTGTGTCTTGGAGGAAAGTGACAGGAGGAGGGATTGAGGAGAATTCTATAGACTTGGTCATGAACAATGGACCGGGAACAATAGCTGAACAATAGGGCCCACAGAACTACCTGGAAACCTGAACCTGGGGTCACAGAGAGGGTGCAAACTTAAGAAAATTCCCAACAGCTTTTAAAACAGCTTAGGAAATCTGTGCGTTAAAGGAAGGCCGAACACAAATACAGCTTTACCTTAGGCATCTCTGTCCACCCTTGCCGTATAATTCCTCCGGCTTTAAAAGAAAGCCTTCCCTGCGGACTGCTCCTGTAGGTTTCGATTTGTTTTGTTTTCAGAGATGCCCACGCCTGATTTAGTGTTATCCCGGGGAAAGGCCTGAGGCTGTCCACAAGAGATCCCTAGAAAGCTCCCGCGGGGTCTGCACAGGGCATCTCGCATGGCAGCCTCTCTATTATGGGCGGTATGAGGTTGTCATATGAGGCTCAAAGCCCAACATAGCTCTGCATCGCCGTTATTCTAATAGGATCATAACTTTGGAAATTTACCAAGCATCCACCGCCACATGTATACAAGATACTGTGTAGGACACAGGCACGTTGAGGTCCCTACTAACAAAGAACAGCAGTTCAAAGTAGCACCAGTCATCCCCCAAAGAGAAAAATGGTACTATTGAGCACAATTCGCTTATGTTCCCGTTTTTGCTTTTGTTCCTGAACAGCTGTGTAATTATCTCCCTTTTTACCAAGGTCAGTGAGCCGCCTGGCAGCTATTGCACAAACAAACCTCTGTCCCTCTCACCTGCAAAAGGTGTGTGACAAGGAATCATGCTAATCTCTCTGAGGCAGTGATAAATGGAGCTGCCTCGGGCAGCTGGGCTCTGTAAATCATCTCCTCAGCCAAGCCCCAGGAAATTTCAGGAGCGCCTGATATTTTTGAGTGATGATTTTTGATATGTGTGCTATGGCCAAGGCACAAAGCGAAGTCAGGGGAATCACGCAGAACTCAGCGGTACCAGCCCGGGGATGTTCCCACAGGGCAAGTCGAGCCCCACCCTGGGGAGAGGAGGGAGGTGGAGGAGTGTGAGACAAGAAGCGTCAAAATGGTGCCCACAGGCAGGTGAGACCCCTCAATCCAGGACACCAAGAGATATAGGGCTCCTTGGAAGAAGTGGGGGCAATGGATCTGTGACCCGAGTATAATCTCTTAGCAACTGCGTGTACTAAGAGATGATGAGGGACTGGGGTAAGATCACTTTTTCTCAGGGTCAGAATTCGGCCATTCTTTTGCTTGTGATGTGATTTTGGAAAAATCACTCAACCTCCCTCTTCATCTGCAAGGTTAGGTTTTAACAATTTCCCAGCCTTCCTCACATAGCTGTTTTAAGGATCACAGGAGGTAATGTGTGTGAAATTCTTTGGAAGCTGTACTCTCTGCACAAATGTATCTGGGGACCTGTCACATGCCCCTGGTGTTAGGAAGTGTTGCGTAGGACCTGCAGCCAAGTCGATGTCGCATCTTACCTGCACCTGGAGACAGTGCTTATTCGTGCAGGTTATCCTAGGGGTCTACAGATGGGAAGCTCTCAGCTTTTGGTTTGGAGAGTGAATATTGCCACGTCAACACCAAGCTGATGATCTTGGTCCCTGCAGCATTGAAAATGTCCTAACACTTTAATTTTGGAAACAGTATATTAGGTTTCCTGAAGGGACATGTGAGGGGAAAAACAGAAGGATTTGGGATCTTGCGTATCTTCGGGAGCTTTAAAATGATTCTCAGTAGACTTGGAAATAGAGGGAGCAGGTGTGAATTAACATTTCATGCGTTATTCTCAGGAGTGTGGAGCATGTCACCTCTCACCCATTCACAAAGGTTCTACAGAACTGAGAATTTTAGATCTGAAAGAAACATTGCAGATCACGAAGTCATTTTACCAATGAGGAAACTGAGGCCAGGGAGCTTATGTGATTTATCTGAGACCACAGAACTAGAGAGATGCAGAGACAGGATGGAACCCGGGAGTCCTGACTCCAGGCCACACGCTCAGGCCACCCCAGAGCTACCCCGGGGCTCATTCCTAGCTGTAAGTGGGGCAGATCAATTCTTATGTAATATGGAAAGTTTGACTGAGGAGAAGCTTTTAAATGCTCAGCTTACTCTCAATAACGCCCTTATATTGCTGCCTAAAAGATTTGCATGGTTTCTTGTCTGCCACTTTAATGGTCTATGCAGTCAATTAATTTCAACAGCTTTCTGCAGAACACCATGGCAGGCACCACAGGATGGGCTCAACAGAGCAGAAGCTGTTTTTTTTTCCTTTGGTTGCCAGAATGCTGGTTGGTCTTGTAGAAAAAGAGAAAAAGAAAAAGATAATTATAAAGCTGCCCAGGAACAAACACAAGAGAAAAAAAATAGAAATAAACACATGCGTTAAGAAGTGGTCAACGTGTGTTATTTTTATAATGAACACTCCAAAGAGCAGGGACCTTGTTGTATGTTCTTTATAGCCCTTGCAGATGAAAGGTGCTTAATGAATATTCAGCAGCTGCAGGAAGCAGGTTAAACGACATCCCGAAGGTCACGCGGCTACTTGACGGCACACCTAGAACTAAAACCTCTTCCTCTGCTCTTTCCACCTCACTCTTATTTTCTTTCCCTTTGCACATACAGCATGATAATGATAATAGCCTTCCCGGTATATTGGTAACAAGGCTAACGGTGCAGAATCCCCGTGAGTGGGAGAAAAAAGACTAAATCGCAGGCCTCCTGGTATATGTGGAATCCCACGTGGCTTCCTCAATGCTGAATAGTTTACTTGCAGAAATGTATTTTACAGGCAATGTGGCTTCATGGGAATAAGGTTGGCCTTTTTTTATGGCCTCTGAGGATCCCATTGTCCTAAGCCCAAAGCATCTACTTAGGTCATTAAAAAGTAGTTGCTTGTCCCTTTGAGCTTGGTCCCCATGGTGCTAAGGAAAGCATGCAGGCTGACGTTGGCAGTCCAAGTCAAATCTTCCTCCCTCCCTCGGCATGCATTGCTCGAGAGCCAGCAAGTCACACATCAGAAACACACATAGATGTTCACCAAAAGGCCAGTGCAGGAATATTCATAGCAGCCGTATTCGTAACAGCCAAAAACTGGAAACACCCTAAATGGCCGTCGCTGGTAGAATGGGTGAATAAATCATGGTGTGTTCATACGACGGAACACCACTCAGCAGCGAGAAGGAACAAGCAATATACACATCAGTGTGGCTGAATCTCACATACAGTGCCGAGTGCAAGAAGCCAGACACAAAAGCAGCACTGCGTGAATCCTTTTCTACAAAGTACAGACACGATCTGACCCATCTGTGTCGCTGAAGTCAGGACAGCGGTGCCCCTGGGCCAAGGGAGGGTGATGGCTGGAAGGGGCCTGAGGGGTTCCTGGCCATGTTCTGTTCTGGCTGTCTGGAGTGTGTTCATTTTGTGAAATCCATCCAGCTGTATACTTAGACTTGTGCACTTGCCTGTATGCATGTTATTCTTTGACACAAAGTTTAATTTTTGGGGTGGGGGGACATGCCTTCCTCAGAACTGCCAGGATGTTTAACTGCTTGCTCCCTCCCTGTCTCACTCCCTGCCCCTCTTGTCCTCTTCCCAGCAGTTGCAGCAATCGCATTTACCCCGGCAGCACCTCCAGCAACAGCGGAATCCGTACCCAGTGCAGCAGGTCAATCAGTTTCAAGGTGAGGCCAGTGCAGACCTCTTTCATTTATACCTTCCAGTTGCGAAGTGTGAGTGTTTAGCCAGGGTCATTGCCGTACATGCTGTATTTGTGTCCAGGTAATACATTATCAAAGTATTTAACAACTGGTGGGAAAAGATTCCCAACCAATCAGAATGGGTTCCTGGAGGCCTCCTGTTGTGCCAGACATTAACCTTTGGGTCACTGAGTCACTGAGAGGTCCTAGTGGGGCCAGGGAGGGGTCGGGGTAGCTGTTCTTTACCAAAGGTACAGAGTATTTCAGTAGTTTAACAACCAGTAAGGACATACCAGTGTCTTGGCCCACTTTCAGCTTTGTTTATGTTTAGATTGTTGTCTTAGTGACCACAGGGGCAAAAATCTTGTACCACATCCTTCTTGTTAATCCCGGCAGGTCAGCTGACCAAAGCCCTCACTTCTAACAGCCGGAGTAGATGAATCTGGTTTACGGCAACTGCTAATCTCTGCTGAATGTAGAAGACAACTAGGGCCTTGAGGCTGATTGGACTGTCCTGATCCTGCATCATTTGTAGAAATCCCAAACCATGACCCCCAGCAGCAGTGGGCGCACTGTATGTCACCATTCCCACTCCTTTGTAAATGTGGAAGGCCCACTCAAATATCAAGCCCTCCCATTTCCAGTAGAGAGAGCCGTTGAGGGTCTTGTGTGGGGTGGAGAAAGAGCATTCCAAGTGTTATTCACAGGAGTTTTCAGGGGGCTGCAGAAGACACCTAACAGCAGAAATCCAATTCCTGCCCTCTGCCTCTTTTGTGGGATTTAGATCAATATGCCCTAACTGCTCAAGAGTTACGTGGCCCTTTAAGAATCTGCAGGAAGGAGAACATTGGTACTTTAAGATGGAAGTCTGCCAACCTCCTCATTTCCTGGAAAATTAATAAAATTCTCTTTGCTTCTCCTCAAAAAAAAAAAAAAGAGGGAGGCCAAGGTGGGTGGATCGTTTGAGCTCAGGAGTTCAAGACCAGCCTGAGCAACAGCGAGACCCCGTCTCTACCAAAAATTGAAAGAAATTAATTGGACAGCTAAAAATATATAGGGAAAAAAAAATTAGCCAGGCATGGTGGCACATGCCTGTAGCCCCAGCTACTCAGGAGGCTGAGGCAGTAGGATTGTTTGAGCCCAGGAGTTTGAGGTTGCTGTGAGCTAGGCTGATGCCACGGCACTCTAGCCTGGGCAAGAGAATGAGACTCTGTCTCAAAAAAAAAAAAAATCTGCAGGAAGCTATGAAGCCCCTTGCACAGAATTATGCATGCAATATATACAAACTTTTACATCATTACAAATATTACCCTCCTGAGGTTTATCAATAGACTGGGTGAAAAACTCCTAACTAGGGTAGCATTTTTGAGTCTTCAAGTTGCAACACACAAGGTTATGAAAACAACTTAATGGGTCACAATCAACATTTCTTGAATGGAATACACTAGGAATTATCAGAGCATGTCAGAAAATTTTGTTTATGTTATAAACATGCATGTATATATCCTGGGTCCTGGACTATGAGTTGTGGTTTAAAGAGTCTGAAAGCCATTGATGTTTACTGACAGATCTCACTGAAGATTGCCTGTGAAATACTGGCTTGAGAGTAGCTACCACTCCCTTCCATCCCTGGACACTTGTATCATATTAGATCCCTTCAGATTTGACACAGGGCAGGACAAAAGGAATTGAACTGTCCACAGGTGTTCTGTGCGCTAAATCAGTGCCAGTATTCTTTGAAGAATTACGTTTCTCACTTTGCCATGGGTGGAGAAGAGTGGGGAATAGTCATCGTTACATACGTAGTTTTTTTTGCAGATACAGAGCCCTTCTTTATACTTGTAGTTCTCAAACTTTAGACTGTGTCAGAATCACCAACAGAGCTTATTAAAACACAGCCCAACCCCATCCCCAGTGTTTCAGATTTAGTACATCTGGAGTGGAGCCTGAGAATTTGCATTTCTAACAAGTTCCCAGGAGTTGCTGATTCTGTTGGCTAGGGGACCACACTTTGAGAACCACTGCTTCGTACTATGAACTAATTAAAAATAGAAAATCCGACAAACCCAGCATAGTGTCCCTCGCGTTTTCTACGTTGATAACTCATTTATTATTTGGGGAGGAAGAGACTCCCACCAAAATTTAATAATGCCTCTGTATTACAGAACGTAGATATATATTTATATGAGCTATTCTGAATGCTTTGGGTTTAAAAGTTCTATTCCTTGAACTTTTCTGAAACCCCAAACCACAGATAATCAACGTAGAAATTTATCTACAGATAAGTTAAACAGCCAGTATGACAGTTTAAGCTCCCTGAACTGATTGGTTTGAGATATAATAATTTTCTTACTATCTTCAGCATTTCATATTCTATTGACACCCTAGATAAGCATGATGTTATGCAACTGGGAAGATAGCAAATTGATAGAAAAGAATATTGTTTTTGGAGAGAAGTTCTGTTATGAATAACTTGGATAAGAACCTACACCAAACTCTCACCACTATGTATTTCAAAGGTCTTAGTGACTGTCTATCTCTCATTAAATTGTGTGCCTCTGGGCAATGCCTATAGGGAAATGCTTACTTTTCACAAATATAGGCTTTTGTGAGTGAAGACAGAACATAGACCCTTTTAGGAAAAAGTTGCATCTCTGTTTGAATTTAGATGATTTTATTTGACATTGTGATGTTAACCAGCAGACAAAAAAATTGATGTGACTATAGTGTCTCACAATAATATCTGTTTTAGACCAAAAACAAAAAAAAGAAGAAAAAGTAGTCTGTTGTTTAATATATGTAGTAATCACATAAAGACAAATTAATTCTTTGGACGTGTTTGAATTTTTTTCTTTGTATTAATATATTTAAAAATTACTGAAGACATAAAACTAGATTAATAAAAGCCTTTTTATTTCTCATAAGTTGAAAATATTGTGCTGATGGCTGGTTTTAAAATGCCTGTTTTAAAATAAGAACTACATCAAGACAGTGCAGTCATTTACACTAAGTAAAAATAAAGGTTGGCTTAGATTAATGTTTCACTACCTATTAAAGGGCACTGCAACATTTTTGCCCTCTAAAGAAAGGAACCTATTTCTTATTCACAAAATTAGTCCAGACAATATCCAGTCCTTCAACATATCCATTATAAATATACCCAAAAAGTGTCTAAATTGTGAAAGTCCTTTCATCTATTTCCAGCAGCCTATTTATGTTTTTTGGGTCTATCCAATCCATCTCTGAGTCAGCAATATTTTTCCCTTAAATTTCTTGATAAACAACTCAATAACCCATTTCACCACAGTTGATCTGATTGGCCATGCAGTTGATCAAATTTAGTCGTTAAGGTCACAAAACTTCATGACCAGATTACGAGTTGTAGGATATACTACCATCCTGTGTGTCACTGGCAACTTTTGGTTTTTCAAAAAGCTACTTAGATATAATTAAGCTTAAAACAAAGAATTGAAACATTTCTAGGGACTTCCCCCAGATCTTTCAGGTTTCCCCACAGAAACCATTCATTTCATTTTTCAGTGCGGCGTGCTATTGATCTCAAGCCACAAAAAATTGAGTCATAATCAAAATTCCCATAGTTTTCTTTCTTAAAGAAAGACAGAAAATATGGAGACATATTTGCTGCCCAGAAATCAATAGCCCCATCAGGAAGACAAAAACATGCTTCAGTTATCTGCCAAGGTGCCAGGTTTAACAAGGTTAGACTATTCTCATCTGGTTTCTCAACACAGTTCTAGGTGGGATCAAATTTGCTTATAATATCGATTGGCCTTCATGCTGCATCTTCTTTAAATATCCAGGAAAAAAACCTATCTGTCTTTTTTTCATAGACTTACTCATGAGCAGGGACATAGAAAAATCCATTTTTGTGCACCTCCTAGCCCTGTACAACATAGGCTGGCGTTGGAAATGTCCCGGGAACACATAAGGAAGGGCTCACTTAAATGCCTAATTAAGGGTGAATGACTTGGCAGTGATAAGCTGGCCAACTTTTAAACAGTGTTATTAAAACCATGTCCACAATCTGCCGAGAGAGGTCATCATTGCCGATTTGAAGGAATGGACCTCGCTGCAGAAATGCATAAAGTTCATTGCCAAGTAGCAAGTAACAGGACGATTTCTTTTTCTAGCTCAGGAAGCTGGCCAGTTTGCACTGACATGTTATGATTCAGAGAATCTGGAGCATGTGGAACTACAGAGTGGATCCAAAACATGTCCCATCTGTCAAAATAGCTGCTTAGCAGAAGAGATGGCCTTTAACCTCTCAAATCCTACTGAAGTCTTAAGGGAAATTAGTCTAATGGGCTTTATTGATACTATTCTCTACTGAGCCCTGTTCCACTTCAACAAATAGAATATGCAAAGTGACCAGCCGTTTCTTCTTAATTTAGCCCAAGAAGTGAATTTCCTTCCACCTCCAAAGAAAATGGTATCTCATTGGTTAAGGATGGCATCATATCCATAAGAGGGAGAAATAATTTGCTTCTGAAGTATAAACAAATATAATATCAGGGTTTGTTAAGTGGAAAGTCAGCTACAAAAACACATGTACAGTATGATCCCAATTTTTGTGTGTGTCTATTTGTATATAAATAAAAAAATAGCAATGGTCATTTCTGGATGGTGAGCATTTGGGTAACTTTAATTTTTGTCTTTGTGCTTTTTAATAGTTTCCAAATTTTTTACAATCAGAAAAATAGTAATCATTTTTATTAAAGATTTATTATCAGAGTAGATCCTTTCACAAAGAGGAATTTTGTCATTCCCAGAGAAAATTCCAACAACTGGTTAGGGTATATGGCTTATGGAGAAGAGTGAGTGGTATGTGTCCTTTTTTTCCCCTGTAGGCTCTCCCCAGGACATAGCAGCTGTGAGAAGCCAAGCAGCCCTCCAGAGCATGCGAACGTCACGGTTGATGGCACAGAACACAGGCATGATGGGAATGGGAGCCTCCCAGAACCCTGGGACAATGGCCACAGCAGCCACCCAATCGGAGATAGGACTGGCCCCTTATAGCACCACGCCTACCAGCCAACCAGGAATGTACAGTATGAGCACAGGAATGACCCAAATGTTGCAGCACCCAAACCAAAGTGGCATGAGCATCACACACAACCAAGCCCAGGGACCAAGGCAGCCTGCCTCTGGGCAAGGGGTTGGAATGGTGAGTGGTTTTAGTCAGAGCATGCTGGTGAACTCGGCCATCACCCAGCAGCACCAGCAGATGAAGGGGCCAGTCAGCCAGGCCTTGCCTAGGCCCCAAGCCCCTCCGAGGCTTCAGAGCATTATGGGAACAGTCCAGCAAGGAGCACAAAGCTGGCAACAGAGGAGCTTGCAGGGGATGCCTGGGAGGACTAGTGGAGAATTAGGACCATTCAACAATGGCGCCAGCTACCCACTTCAAGCTGGCCAGCCGAGACTGACCAAGCAACACTTCCCACAGGGACTGAGCCAGTCAGTCGTGGATGCTAACACAGGCGCGGTGAGAACACTCAACCCAGCTGCCATGGGTCGGCAGATGATGCCAGCACTTCCGGGGCAGCAAGGCACCAGCCAGGCAAGGCCGATGGTCCTGTCTGGCCTGAGCCAGGGTGTCCCCGGCATGCCAGCATTCAACCAGCCCCCAGCACAGCCACAGATGCCCAGTGGCAGCTTTGCTCCCAGCAGCCAGAGCCAAGCCTATGAGCGGAACCCCCCTCAGGACATGTCATACAATTACAGTGGCGAAGGAGCCGGGGCTTCCTTCCCTGGCCTCCCAGACAGTGCAGACCTTGTGGACTCCATCATCAAAGGCGGGCCAGGGGATGAGTGGATGCAGGAGCTTGATGAATTGTTTGGTAACCCCTAGTCAAGAGGGGCCCCCAGGAGCCACAAGTCTAGTGGTTAAAGCTTAAAAAGTGAAAAAGAAACAGGATGTTGGCCCATCCTTGTTCTTTGTTTTTTTGACCCATGTAAACTGAGCAAAACTGCAGCTGGCTGACAGTGGAAGATCCAGGTGCCAATCCACAGTCCCGCCGGGCCTCATTTCACCTGATATTCACACAGCAACCGAGATGAGACGCCATGCAGATCCCTGCTGCGAGAGGGAGCCACGAGAGGGGCTGGCAGGGAAGACGCAGCCAGCCAGAGCTCCTGCTCAGCACTCCCTGTCATGGCCTAGACCGGCCAGCGCCGCTCCAGCCAAGAGGGACTATTGCCCAAGCGAGGTGTCCGGGAGCCCCTCCTGCCCCAGGTCCGGAGACTGCAGCTTTGGAGACACAAAAGAGGCAGAGCCTCAGCCAGGGAGAGCCCCATAGAGGCTGCTGGGTGGTGGCACAGGCCAAGTGCACAGGTCAGAATGCACCGAACCCTGGGTGGAAAGAGGCAGGAGGCTTCAACACATGCTACTGTATTTGGAGGGTAGGCACAAAAAACAGCGATAGGCTCACAGGGAGACAACAAAGGGTCCTGCTGGCCCATCTGACTCCTGCCACGTGGTGACCCCTGGGAATTGCAGAGGTGTTGCCGCTGGTGCCTCATAAGGAAGCCAACTGAGTCTGGAGAAGGGGCAGTCCAGGGGGCTGCCTTCTGCTGGGGACCATGGTGGTCTGCTGGGGACCACTCCAGGTTGGGCTGGAGCCTCCTGGGGGCCTGGTGCAACACCAATGCTTGCAGGTAGTTCACAGCTGCTTTGGGGGCCGCAGGGTGGAGAGACCCCAGCTGGCTTCCAAGTGTCTGCCAGCCCGGCTGCCCTTGTGCCCCCCACCGCTGTGATTCCTCCTGGCCTCCACCCCAGCCTGCCCTTGCTTCTCCTCACAGACAATCCAAGGATAAGGGACACTTTCGTCTTTCAGGAGCCTAGGCAGAGTCCAGATAAATGCAAGAACTTAGACAATGCCCAAAATGCAAAGGCGACAATGGCGTTTTCTTTCTCTCCATGTGTGGAGTTGAATGAATATCTCCACCTGGAACTGAGAGGGTGGCTCTGATGTGTGGGCGTCAGTTGATGGGAGCCGGATCTGATGCTTCTGGTGTCCCCAGGCAGGAGTGGCCTGGAGGTCGCTGGTTCTGGCTCCTTCCAGGAAAATCCCAGGGGTGATGCTCTGAAATCAGCCTTGCCCATCATCCCTACTCATCGGAAAGACAAACATAAAACCCAGATGGAAGAGCTAAAACATCAATTGCTCCACCTTACAAATTTAGATGATCAAAGCGGGGAAGATACGGTTCCTTCCCTATGGGCAAAGTGATCCACTTCAAAAGTTCTGTACAGTTGTTCTCTTTGTGATTCACTCGCATCTGCCCTAAGTGAAATCTGTCGGAAGGAATCGACAGTGTCCACTGTAGCCAGGCTAGTCTCTGTGGTCCTTGCCTCCCCTCCCACCGCCCCCTCTTGGAAGCCATAGGCCTAAGTGTTGTCGTAAGTAAGAGTGGCCTGTACTTTTCTCCTGTCCCCTCCTCCCTCTGGGCCCTAAACAGTGGCTCCCTTCTGTGCACTCCACGTGCTCACGCGGCAGCGCTGAAGCATGTGAGGGCTGGACGGGTGCACTTGGGAAGTCCTGAGAATGCCAGTTCCAGTGGAAGGCTGGGGCCGAGGGGCTTGGGGAGGAGGCAGGTGGGCAAACGATGCCCTTGGCTTGCTCCCCACATACCCAGGGTTCTAGATCTGCTCAGCAAGGGGCAGGGTGTGAGGCCGGGGGCGCCAGGAGGGTGAGGACCCAGGCAGAGGCTGTGTGCCCTCTCCAAACAGGTGGCAGCAGGGTGACCCTAAACTCCCTGAACTAGGGAGCGATGCCAACAGGGAAACTCTGAGTGGAAACAGATGAAAACCAAAAAAAAAAAAGAGAGAGAGAGAGACAAGAAGACACAGAATACACAATACCTTTTCCTGAAAGGTACAGGAAATAAATACGTAAGCAATGGTGAGAAACGGGAGGTGGCTTCCTCCAAATGCTCAGTACTGGGACCAACCAATAGAGAGGTAGATTTTAATAAAGTTGTTTTGTTTCTGTTTTGTTTTTACTACGGTGCTGATGTATATGTAATGTCTAAAAAAAAAAGTTATTTGTACATAAGTTTTTACAATACTGCAGATATCACTGGGTCTACTATCTGTAAAAAATATACATATAAATATATATATACTGTTTGTTTAAAATAGAGTATTTTTATTTCATTCCTTAACTCATCATCACAGCAGTGGTATTGCACTTCAGATGACATCTAATTACTAATTTGTACCGTACGACCTATGGCAACTTGCTCCGTTTTATTCAGATTTTTCTAGTTTTCTGTTTTTACCTTGTACATTGAGCATTGTTTATTTCCTTTGAAGAAATGTACAGAACTCTGAAATGTAGAAATGAAGTGATGTTGGCATACCACTTTTAAAGAAAAAAAAAATAAAAGATCATTATCTGAATCAATGCAAAGTATAGTTTATTTTAGGATCCTCACTGGATTTCCAACCTTAATTAAGCAGATATATTATTCCTGGGTTTTAATTAACTGCAGTTCTTTTCTCAAAATTTTGGTATCATTTAGACATGTATTTAATAGTAGAGATCAATCATTCCTAGTCTTTTGAATTCAACCACGCAACGGAAACTTGCTAAATTTGCTGCAGCACCGAAGACTATGGCAAAGGGAAGGGAGGAAAGTCAACTTCGCAAGGAGCAAACATGCCATAGTCCTTTTGTAGATGCCATACCATGACAATTCAATTCACTGGCTCACAATTTGGAGGACTCGGAAAAATGATAGTGAAGTTTTTATGCAAGATAAAGAAAAATCAAGGAACATACTGGGTCCGGGCACAGTGGCTCATGCCTGCAATCCTAGCACTCGGGGAGGCCGAGGCAGGAGGATTTTGCTTGAGGTCAGGAGTTCAAGACCAGCCTGAGCGAGAGTGAGACGCCTGTCTCTACTAAAAATAGAAAAAATTAGCAGGACATAGTGGTGTGTGCCTGTAGTCCCAGCTACTTGGGAGGCTGAAGCGGGAGGATTGCTTGAGCTCAGGAGTTAGAGACCAGCCTGAGCAAGAGTTAGACCCCATCTCTACTAAAAATAGAAAAAATTAGGGTGGTGGTGGCACAGGCCTGTAGTCTCAGCTACTCAGGAGGCTGAGGCAGTAGGATCACTTGAGCCCAGGAGTTTGAGGTTGCTGTGAGCTAGGCTGATGCCACGGCCCTCTAGCCCGGGTGACAGAGTGAGACTCTGTCTCCAAAAATAAAAATAAAAATAAAAATAAAGGAATGTATTGGGAGGAAGCAATAAAGGGGCCTTGCCCCACCGTGGCAGACACTGTCATTAAACACCCCTCCCCCAGGAGTGCCTCCCTCCCCTCTACCACACCCCACTCCAGCTTGAAAAGCCTGGCCATGCCTGCACCCACCACAGAGTTGGAAGTGTTTAGAAGTTTATATCCCTCCAGGTCAACTGTAGCCAATAGTTCCCTGGTGCAGGAGTGGAAAGGCCCAGTTAGCTTGTCTGGGCAAACTCTGAGATGTACTTTTCTCCATTGCTCCCCCTGGGACTTGGCTGAAAGTTGCCCCCTGGCTTGGCTTCTTTCCCCTCTCTGTTCTGTTTCCCCCACTCCCTTTCCCTTTTCTCTTCTTGAGAGCCCATTGTTCATAAGTCACATACATGTGAATTCACCTCGCCACTTCTAGGAGACCTAAGACTCCCCATCCAACTTTGAAAATCTTAATGACACAACATGTTTCAAAACTGGGTTAAGCAGAAAATAGGCCACAGAATAAAGTCATCATCAAAACTAAGCCCAAAACAAAGGTGAGTTTTAATATCTGTAAACCAGGAGAAGGAATTTGTGGAAGAGGCCAGCCCTACCCCTGTGGTTCCAGAGTGGATGGCAGATAACACCATGGCGGAAACAACGTGGCACTGGGCTTTGTCTGTATAACATGAACTTAGCACTATCCCAGATAACGTGGGATAGAAAATGAAATGATTCATGGGTGCAGGGAGGGCGCAGGGGGAGGCTGACAATAGAAGTGAAAACACGAAGCAGAGAAGGCTCGATTACTCCTCCAAGTCCCGATTAATTCAAGCCCCATTTTTTATACTAAAATTTGTTCGGTACTCAATGAATGAAATCCCTTTCTCCTTTAACACAAGTTCTTATATGTAATCTTACCTTTAAAAAATCCTAGTGCAGTAAGTGTGTGATGGGGGAAGGAGAAGAGAATACACATCTGTCTAGGAAGTCAGTAGGCATCTGCCCCAGTGGGAAGGAAGTATTTCATTGCTGATAGATTAAGGAACATTCAAAAGCATTCACTGAGCTGGTTCTGCCTCTGATCATTCTTTTCAAGGAAGACTGAGTCTGGAAAGAGAGGCTGAAAAACAAATGACCTGATATTTTTCTTTATTAATGGCTTCCTGGGCCACACCCCACCTACCTCCAACCCCTAAAAGTGGGAGAGGAAAAAATACCTGGGAAGGGAGCAGAGCTGCCGCTTTGGGTAACCAGTCCTTTATTGCTTTATTTTCTTTTTGATTTTTTCCCTCTTCTTTTCAATTTTCTCCTTGATTCTCTTTTCTTTTTTGTTCTAAGTCCTAAGGACATTAGAGTCCCACACTAATGTCCTCTGAACGAGCTGCCTCGTTTCGTGCAACACGTGGAAGTCATCACTGCAGTTTGCACACATGCGGGGCCCCGTGTCTCTGCCCCATGCAGGACGGCTGCCAGGCCAGCATTAATGGCTGCAGATCCATCGATAACCCTGGATCCCAAATCAAACCTACGGTGCTCAACACAAAAAAATCTTCAGAGCTACCAAGAACCTGACTTTGGGTTTTAACTTCTCTTCTTCGAATTTTTAAACTTTTTATTATGAACATTTTCAAACGGCCAGGGAAGTAGAAAGTGCAGTGAATACCTATTCATTTATCAACCAGATTTAAACATTGTTAACACTTTGCCATAAATGTTTCAATACCTATTTTGTAGAACCATTTCAAAGTAAGTTATGCATCCCACCACTTCACCCCTCCGTGCCTTAGCACGCAGCTCCAAATCAGGGCATGTTCTTCCTTAACCACAATATCATTATCACACCCAACACAATTAACATTAATTCCCTAATATCATCTAATTCTTGTTCTATAGTCAGGGCTTCCCAATTATCTCACAGATGTCTTCCAAAGATGTTTTTTTCTAACCAGGATTAGATGAAGGATCTCACATCGCCATTTGGTTTCTATGCCTTTTAAGATTCTCAATATATTAAAATTCTTCTCCATCCCTTTTTTTCATGACATTGACCTTCTGAGGCGATGAATCTAACTTCTAAAAATGAAACTGGTCAATTTACTAATATACAAAAAATTTACATGTAACTGTCAAACTGATCAGAAACTCACATCTCTCTGTCCAACATGTTTGCTCCCTGTAGCCAAATCTAATAGGAATTCAAATTATCAAAAGGTTGCCTAGTGACAACAGAATTAGAACAAAGGAAATAAAAATCTAGGGTTCTAGCATTTAAAGTTGCAAAGCTTTCACAGCCTGATACACCTACTGCTCTTTCCACATGTTGTTTAACCAGACCATGTGGGGTATGTGTGTGGTTTACGCTGCGTAGAATCAATTTAAGCACAAAACAGAAATGTTTTAAAAATCCTCAAGTGTAAGACTTGGAAAATTTTTCTCCACTTCCAAATGACATAATTATGCAATAATTATGCTTTAGGGTCAAAAATTTGCACTCTCCCTTCATTATCTTTAATGTATAAAATAATTAAAATGTTATCATACAAGTCACCATCATAACTGGTCAGAATACTAAGTAAAAAGACCATTATAATCCTAGCATTTCAGAGTGAGTATTAGCCCCATTTTACCTAAGAAAAAACTGAGGCGGAGAGCTACAAAGTGTTGGGGTAGCACAGCCAGCAAGTGATAGGACACGATAGATCGTCTCACTCTGGAGTCTTCATGTCTTTGCTCCCAGACCTCTTATTGATGGGGTGCCTTGTCCAAAGTCAAACAGCCAACAAGTGGGAGAACCTGAGCTAGCATCCAGATGCTTCTGTTCCCAGGCCAGTGTACTTTGGGGCATTTAACACTGTTCTGTTATTTGGGATGCAGGAGGTCATATCTTCTCCCCTAGTATTCTGGAAACACTAGTATTTTAATGTCTTTATATATTTTTCTATGACTCAATAGCCTTTGCAACTTCCTTTGTAACTACAAAAAAGTCCCATTAAACAGCTTTTGACGATGCCCACACCAGATTCAAGGCTGTCCAATTTTCTTTGGAAAAATTGACAGAGGGCTCTTTTCTTGATGTTCAAATGTGTTGTGTATGCTCATAATTAATTCCATTTTCCTAAGGTCTTTGAAGGCTGTGAAGTAGAATCATGCCCATTTCACAGATGAAGGAGAGGAGGGGGGTTCTTTTGCTTGTTGCCGGCCGGGGCTTGCCGTTGGAGTTCGGGGCGGCGGCCGGGTTTTGCGGCCGGGGTTGCTTCCCGGCCGGGGTTCGGGTTGCGGCGGGTTTTGCGGGGACCCCGGCCCGGTTCCTCGGGCCCCGGGCGGGCCCTTCTTTCTTTTGCCTGGGGGGGATTCTTCCCTTGGCCTTGTTCCTTGGTTGTTTCTTTGAATTGTTCCTTTTTTTTTTCTTTTTCCTTTTTCTTCTTTCTAAAGTCCGTTTTCACAGCGAGATTCATTTTGTGCCATTAGTTGATGACTCCCTTCTCTGGCTATTCCAAGTGTTCGTCTGACCTCCCCCACATGCAGCCATCTGTTGCTTTCCTGCAGGCAATGAAGGGGCCTCGACTGCCTTGTCAGCATCCGTCTGGAGCTTTCCATGGAGAGAGAA